TGAGTGAACGGGTTTGGTGCAGTTTTATGATGCAGCAAGGTAGCAGATTAGAATTCTCGTAGTTTTTATTTTCGTGATTAATCTTCAGAAGGCCTTTAAGCAGACCAGCGTAACAATATTATTAAAGTAGGTAGCTACGAGATATTAACATTTTTGGATTCAAGGCCGTTATAAATAGCAACAGTTCTTCCAAAAAATGTATCGAATCGAGAAACAAACTTGGTTATTAAGCAATATCTCAATTTGCTTGAAGTTGTGTCTTTTCGAAACACTCATTAAAAGTGGCTTTCATAAGCACCTTTATTGTAAAGTAGGTTCATGTAGATTTTATTGTCACATTACAAAGTTAACGTCCTCTACTTAACTTGACTCGTCCAATAAAGAGCTTTGCTGAAACGAACGAAAGAATACGGCTACAGTCACTTTTGTGTGTAAACCCAAGGTATTAAATGTATTTGCTTACAAACAACGAAAGGTTTGTTCAAGTTTTTTGAATTCCTGAAGCAAGTCACATTGACATTAGTGGATACAGATGCAATTTATGTTATTTAAATAAGCAAACCTGAAGTTGATTTTAAGTTTAACAATACTGTAATTAGAATGTCACTAATCGATGAAAACCAAAAAGTAAACTTTAAAAAATCCAATAATCATGTTTGATTGTTAGTTAATTATATATGAAGGCAACATGTCCAATATTCTGAACGGCTGCAACAGTTGCTATGAGAACACGTGCTTTGTTAAGATAGACAAGATAGTGTAATATTAAGGACAGTGCTGTACCGGTATGTGAGTTCCGGTAGCCGCGGTACAATCGGGCACACAAGGTCGACGCCACTCGCGCCCGCTGTTTTGTTGCCTGTCAATCACTATTCAACTACTCACACCTTTGCGTGAACAACGTGTTTGTACGTTCCACTGTTAGTGTTAGACTTTAGTTTCGGATTAGTCCTGTTTGTATTTGAAGCTTTGGAACGTTGTTGATGTCTAAAATTGAAGCTCTATTTAGAAGTGAATGTAGTTTTTGCATGGGACTTTTGTTTCAGTATTCGGTTCGTCATGATTTTTAGATCGGCTGGTTGGAAGTTCTCTCTGCAATACTTATCGCATATCGTTTACGATGCTAGATGACTAGTATGTCTTAAACTTCTATATTTGAGTTGATTTACAAAAATGCGTAGTTCACTATTCATCCGCCACTTTCGAGGTTGCCAATTAGATGAAAATTTCCCTAAATTAAAACGTAATTAATATTAGATTAGAAGAGAATTGACAGCAACTGTTTGTGTCACAAGGTTTGCCTACTACTGTCCTTACAAAAATGATTGTTTACAATTTTGTCTCTACATTGCCACACGTAATACACATGTAAAGTCATATTTATGTTGAAATTACACTATTTTTGTACTGGGCTGCACTAAAAATGGCATTTGTTTTTTACCATAATAGTAGTGAATATTAATTACACTTTCGTAAGAACTTGGACATGTCCATGAACATGGCAAATTATTGTTCGGGCCATTTAATGAGATGCTTGGCCTCTAATATATACGACTTCACCTTTTCAAGCCTTTTCTGTATAACATAGAAATCAGATTCGATGTCTCTTGTTCCATCACATTTAGGACCACTCAATCAATGCGACACTAAAACAAGTAGTATAAAAGTAATAAACATAGTAGATGTGCAATATAATAGATATTGATGCACTTCTGATTGTTCTATTAAGCTGGCTTTATAGTGGTTGGTCTATATTCCAGCTGAATAAGGTTTATTATGCAATAACACGGCTATCCACACTTTCAGCGCACAGTGAAAGCACTAAGGTAAGTGTGTAAGTAAGCCGAAAGCCTTGTCCTAATTAACTGCAGCTAAATCAGGTTCCACGACAGGTGCTAACTTGAACAATTTAATCGGACATAAATAATTATTATTTTTAAGATAATTAAGTTTCAAAATTAATTTATTTGTTCATTGTGCTGACAGAAACATCTACTAGACGGCCACTAAAATTTATTTCCGACTACTGTATCATAGTTGGAATCTTATTTAAGAGTTCACTTTCATACGAAACATTTTAATAATGTTCAACTACTGCAATGAAATACATTAACTTGCTTTTTTGATGATAATTAATAGAGTAGTAACAGCTATTTCGTAGTTTCGTGAAAGTTTCAACTGGTGTAGCCATCTGAATATCTGTTCGCCAGTATTATATGAAAATATATAAAAAAAGTAGTTACTATTTGGAACGAAGTTTTTCATAATAAGTTTTGGAACGATCCCGGTGTGGTTTTAGACGAGCGCATTGGTTTTAGAAGCGGAACAAATTGACAATCGAATTACGAATTCCTGCGTCGGCGCCACTATTTTACAAACATTACATTCTGACTGCAAAGTAGGTCGTGACAATATGGTTTTGAATGTCTGATGTTACCATTCGCAGGGAGTCATTAGCGATCATTCGTATAGCGCCGACCATGATTGATGACTTTGATGAGTATCGATCGTAATAATATCGCAATCACTTGCAATATAATAGAATTATTGTTTTGTAAAGTTGTATGAATATTTAATAAGTTCAAGCGGAGCGTAACAGTGAGGCGGTTTCAAAATGTTACATCTAAACTGAGTAACACTCTTGTTGTCGACTAAATCGTTTCATATCAATCTTATGTATCGATTGTTCCGCAGTAGGTGATTTATCTAATGACCTAGCTAGCTAGCTTAAGATACGGCAGCACCAGTGGAACAGTTATAATAATTACCAGCAGCCAGTCGTGCCTTACATCATGTACTTATACATTGTTATGTACTAAAAAGCTAAGCAATTAAGCTCATAACAAGACGTAGTTTGTTAGCAGTTATAATCTTATTAAGTGAATATTCTAGGTACAATGTGTACTTAATACGTGACACGTAAGGGGGTCAATGAGCAACAACCCATACGGTAATCATATAATACTGTATTGAATAAGGTTTTATAATCTCACAAAACGTAACGTGCTGTAATGATTCCATTCATTTTAAGCAGAAGTGAATATGGCTGTTTGTGGTGCTTACTGTGCATCATGGCGTCTGTGAACGCGTGCAATGACTCCATCTTAATTAATTGCACACATGGCAGTCAGTCGTATTACAACCCATTACAGCGGAATGGTTCTTATCACAAGACATTTGTAAATGAAGCTAATTTTAGACTGCCGGCGACGGCGCGACCAGCTCGTTGACCTATCAACTTGCAACTGAGCCATTCATTCGTAATATTTAATTTAAATGTAATTACATGTCAGTCTGGTGGAGCACTTTCAGCATTATTGCCTGTTTGCCTGAAATATATTATGAAACTGCAATAATAAAGTGGTTTAAAGCCTCTGAATACCTATTAAGAAAATACTTGATATTGGTGAACGCTGCAGTCGCATAAAAACGTGACAAACTGCGAATTTGTAAGCGCAGTTCGGTGCGGCAAACTCTCTCTAGATGTAATATCAATTTGTCCGATGGCCTTGGCACACTAACGTATTAGAGTTTCTCTCAACAAAATGGGGGCAGAACGTTTTGTTTGTAAGTTAAGATGAGAGCGTGAATCGTCCGGGAAATCCTAGTTGCAGCGTCGCGTCGCGTCTCGTCAACGTAACACTTCATCGAGCCACTCATTAAACCGTCTGTGCGAAGTTTGTCGCAATGTCTGTTCACCTAGAACATTTTGTTTACAATGGTCCTTTGAACGGCTGTGGTTTGTCAATATAACTTGCTAAAACAAATGAGTGGGTATGTGCTTATTTGGTGACTGACGTTATAAGTGTGTCATAGTTACTTAGCAAGTTGCTGGTTGAATCAAAGCACTATATCTTAAATAACTGCTTGTAAGCTTAGACGGATACTGACATGTTAATTGTTGGTTGGTATTATAACAATGCCCTGGCTCTCAGCGAACAAAACCAATAACATGTGACTTTCATAATCCTAGCCTCATTTCTATTTGATATGTACATAGAAGTAATTGCTTCTCATGACAAAAACTGCATTGGGGTCGTGTGGCTACTTAGCTTATAAGTTTCACACTATATTTACCTATACATAATATACAATGATACTATG